GGTTTTCTGCACTTGGCCACATCGTCATTATCTGCGGGCATGCGAAAATACAAGTCAAATTATGTCCACATGGAATGCCATTCTCCTGATGGTTTATGCATGAGCAAGTCCCTTTCTCAAGGTCTATAAGTTTCACATCTCTCTTTGGTTGGGTAAGATGTCTAAGAAATTGATCTGCCATAAGAGTAATATTTTGTCTTGCCCATATCCTGCTTTACCTAACAGCTGGGTGTAAAATTTGGTGTGCAAAATAGTAGAACTAGTAACAGTAGCCTCTGTATATCATTCAAAGCATTGATCTATAAGCTTATACTAGATTATATCTTGTAACTCTACAATTGAGAGTTCATGATGAAGCTTTAGTATACTATTAACTGACTCTATAATATTGGAAGTATTGTGACCATATCTCTTTCCAGGAAAGAATACCTTAGTCCAAAGTATTTAATCAGCATTTTGTAAATACTGTTCAGCTGTAGGCTTTACTTCATAGACCTTTGTCATTGCTGCTTCAAAGGATTCAACACTTGGAGTCCTTGCAACAGTCCAGGAGAGGTTGGATAAGCCTCTTCTGTAGACACTTACAAGGTTCTCCTTTAAGCACTGACACTAATATGGTCAGATAATAGTAGTAGGCAAGTGCTCAGAAGCCTTTACCAATCCTTTATCGTGGTCACTAATAAGAGTCACTTTCTCACTACCAATTTCAGGAATCACCCGTATGAGATTTGATATAAAATGCTCCCAAGAGGAAGTATTTTTATTTTCTATAATAGACTCATCGAGTAATAAAGTCTTCCTACTGGTATCCATAGTAATGGCAAGCAACTGAGTTTATACAGACTTTATTTTCAAAAAGGTTCTATTGGAAGCAATAAAGTAGCTGAACAAATAAAATGATGTATGAGACTGAGGAGGACAAATAAAAATCTTACAAAATAGATAAGTGGCATTATCACCTAATAGAGTGATATATGTATTTGTATTTACTTGTAGAACTGAATTGACAGATTGAGGGAGCTGGTGGAATCCCTTTCTTTAATCTTTAAGTATATCATCTAGTAGATAACTCTTTAATCTAGATGCTACTTTGTATAACAAGGTCTCTCCAAAATGGAAACATAAACAGTCGATAATTTCCTAAGGCTTAGTTGCTTGTGTAATGTTCCAATAGTTAGGTACATAGCATTGAAGACATGCTTGGATACAGGATACACTAATACTTTTTTCACCATTGCATAGAGGACAAGTATACTCTGTTACCAGAACGCTAATTTTGATATCGTCTTGGTTCGTATAGTATGCTCTTTCTTGGTATTGGCAGCCTTCGGTAGCACAAATATAGAAAGCTCTTGGTCTATCATGATCAAGAACTTTAAAGCTGAATTTTTCTTTAACTGACCAAACCTCAATCGCTTCTTGAATTTTGATAAAATTAGAAATTAATTGGCAAATTGCCGGGACTCTAGAGAGTTGAGAGAGTGTGGACATATCGGATAAAACTTTAAGTCTCAGAAATGGTACAAAATAAAGACCAGCTAAATTGAGAGGAGAAAGGCAGGCCAGAAGAAGTGAAATGATTAAGACTAATAAGAGTCAAACACTATAAGTAAAGAGCAGAGAGTGAAGACTAGAGACTGGAGAGAAGAGTAGGAAGCGGGAAGACTGTAGAGAGAGGAATCAGAAGCCAAGAGCAAAGAGTTGAGGAAGAAAAGCTTAAGGAAAAGAGAAAAGAGTAAAGGTCACCAATAGAAAGCGGAAAGTGATCCCTTGTAACAGTGAAGCAAGAAGTAAAGAATGAAAGATGGAGACCAAAGTGAGAAGTGTGAAGACTACAGTCTGAATAGTAAAGAGTGAAGAGTGAAGAAAGCAGCTCTGAGAGTAAAGAGCAAAGACAAAATCTGAGAGCAAAAAGGAGCTCTGAGAGCAAAGAGGAATTCAGAGAGAAAAGAACAAAGAGAAAACACAGAAGAGTAAAGAACAGTACAGAAACCTAAAGGCCAGGAAAAGCGAAGAGCAAGAAAGAGCGGAGAGCCCAAGATTGGCAGAAGTGAAGAGCAAAAAGACAGAACAGGCAGAGAGCAAAAGAGCCAGCAAGAGGGAAGAGTAAAAGGCCAGAACAAGCTGAGAGCCACAGGGCAGTAAGAGAGAAGACAGAATGGTGAAGGACCATAAGCCCAGAAAGTAGAAAGATGGAAATGCTGTAGTAGGAGGAATAGTGAGGAATGAGAATGGAGATGGATTGGCAGAAATGTGAAAGTAGTGGAAAGAGAAAAAAAGTGATAGAAAAGCTAAGTTGAGTAGTCGAGAAAAAGAACGGCGAAGTAGAAAATGCCCATTTCTACATTCTGGGAATTCTCCATTATGAGTGCCGCCAAGACTAAGTCAATAATTTATATTGAGAAAGCTAATTAATTAAATTTTGTATTTTATTTACATAGAAGCAAAACTAATAATATATTCCTGTAGCACTGAAGGGTAGTGTGGCATTTAAGGTGTTTTTTTGAAATATTAATAGTAGATGAGACTTTTACCATTTAAGAATTCAGGCTATTATTACTGCCTCCAGAGGCCATACTCGTTGGTCAACTTCAAAATAAATAAAAATTAAATTTTTGGGATTTATTATTATTTTTTATTTTTTTATTTTTTTTGTATTTATCACCTATTCTTTGATATTTAATATGTATTTTAAAGTTTATGTACACTAGTAATATAAAAAATAATCCTTTTCCCATCAAATTTCGCCCACACTTTTGATTATTTTTTATACTAACTACTCTTGCTATTGACAGGTGTGATTCCGTATTCTTGGCCAAGAGCTTCTAGCTTCTAGGACCCCTTAATGCTTACTCTGTTCATGCCCAGGACCTGTAGCGGGTTGTAGTTGATCTGCACATTACTGTATTCATTACTGAGCTGCTTTATGTAATCTTATCAAGCATCATATTTCTTCATCAATTTTCTTTTGTACTTTTAAAGCTAGTTTCTGCAAATATTAATAATATTATTTATCCAATGGTGCTTCTCCCACCTCATATAGCTGAGTAGTTCTTTTAATCTTTACTTCTCTTCCTGTAATGTTTACTTTAGATCCAATAATGATTGCTGCTACTTAACCTAATACAGTTATTACTCTTTATTAACTTCACTACCCCTGTTCACTTCTCTTTTCTTTCTTTTCCAGTCTCTTATGTATATTTTGTTCTCTGATCCTGTTTGCTTTACTAATTTTATTTAATACTAAACTAGTACTATTCTGACTCGGCAGTCTCCATTTTGCAAAATTTAATACAAAATGTTACAGTAATCCTTTATTCAATTCCGAATGGCTTTGATGATATTTTGCTCCTACTACCATGTTGCAAGTTACAGGTGTCCTCCCAGCATCTTTTGCTTGTCGTTCTTTCTTTCTACTTAACCTTTTATATAACACTGAATAGACTTCTGTATTGAAAGATGATTCTCATAATATAAATACTAAATATTAACTGCTCATATTTGAACTACTAATACCATTACCTGCCCCTACTTACTTCTTCCTCCTTCTTCCCACTGCTTCCTATTTCATCCTATTTCATCCTATTTCATCCTATTTCATCCTATTTCATCCTATTTCATCCTATTTCATCCTATTTCATCCTATTTCATCCTATTTCATCCTACCTTTACCTAATACTACCTACTTCAGCTTACTTTATCTGCTTCTCAATACTGCCTCCAAGATAATGGTCGAGTGTAAATCGAGGGGATACTAGCCTGGCAATCTTGGCATCACAGCAGGTCACTCAATCTCTTCAATCTCTTGGCTTAATTTCGCTTATCCCATTGCGCAATTGCTGAGCCCGCCCGATCCCGGATGGCGGATTTAAAGGATTTTTGCGGTATCATACTCGAGTATCATAACTTAGATACTCGTAAAGTGCGGGAGGGCTTGCGCAAACTGAACCATGCTGGGACGCCAAGGAATTGCATTCCCCCTGATTTTCCTGACTGTTTTTTTCCTAATTTGTAATTCCGAGATCATTCTTAGGTGTTAGGATGTATTGCGGCATTTGTGTGGCTTGGTTTCACCCTAATCTAACCTACTCGCGTGTCGTTCTTTTATTCGAGTTGATACGATATCTTATCATCCAGATGCGATAAAGTGTCAGATACGGCATGCTAACGGCCATCCAGGGTTACCCTCTTCCAACACCGCACTGGATTTGCTGCTGCAGAAACTATTCGCCCCCGCGTGTTTTTGGGCATCCCACAAAGAAATAGAGGGAATAATAATATTATCATAATCAAAAATCCAGTCTTTTCTGTTCAACACCAGGTGTACAATATGCCTGCTCCAACAGCTCTAAAAAAACCAGAGACGGTCGCCGAGCCGGTTCTAGAAAATATTGCGGGTAAACGATTTCAATCCTCCTCTGGCGTGTGATTTTCTTGGTTCTGACTGCTTTTTTTTTCGTACGCACAGAAGACGACGTTCTCATCGACGCCTTCGCTTCGTTAACCCAGCCAGAAGATACTGCTGCAGTGGCGCAGACTCCCAGAGATATTGAAGGAGATGGTATGCGGCTTGACGAGGAAGGGCGACCGAAATTCAAGCCTGCCGGTGCAGTAGTACGTTCCTCAATATCGCCAATGACAACTCCTAAATAGCTGACGAATGTCCTCTAACAGAAAGTATTTAAAAAAGGCGAAAACCGCAAAATCTCTATCCCGCCGCACCGCATGACACCCCTAAAGTCGGCTTGGCCAAAAATCTACCCACCCCTCGTCGAGCACCTAAAACTCCAAGTCCGCATGAACCTCAAGGACAAGGCCGTCGAACTCCGTGCCTCGAAAGAAACAATTGACACTGGAGCCTTGCAGAAGGGTGCTGACTTCATCCGTGCCTTCGCGCTCGGCTTTGATACTGATGACGCAATTGCGCTGCTGAGGTTGGACGACTTGTACATCGAGACCTTCGAGGTCAAGGATGTCAAGACCCTAGTTGGTGAGCACTTGGGAAGAGCGATTGGTAGAATTGCGGGCAAATATGGGAAGACAAAGTTTGCCATTGAAAATACTACAACGACGAGGATTGTGCTGGCTGATTCGAAGATTCATATTCTTGGGGGGTTCCAGAATATTCGCATTGCGAGGGAGGCGGTTGTTAGCTTGATTCTGGGAAGTCCACCGGTATGCCATTCCACCGAATCTCTTCTTGCTCTTTCCACTTTGAATAATCGTTGGGGTGCTTGTATGCTCATGGAATATTCGTATAGGGCAAGGTATATGGCAACCTTAGAACTGTCGCTGCGAGGCAAAAGGAAAGGTTTTAGACAGCGGGAATTTCATGGATAAACAATCTTTTCTCTCTTTTTCTTCCTGTCGTTTTGCTATTTGACGCCTCATACGATATTCCGGTCCCCTTAAGGCGTACAGGCTGATTGTTGAATTGGGGGGAATCCATTTGCATCTTGTACGTAGGTAAACTAAAAATCGAGAGATGATAGATGGTGTTTCTACTCGCCAGGTATCTTTATTTCTCTTGTCCTATCGAGTCATGCCCTGGCTGCATGGTCACACCGTTTCACATATGGCAACCTAGTTAAACTTCCTTTTGTCCTTTTTCTCCTCTTCTGACCCTGCAAGTGCTGAGATTTCTCAGCTCCCCGGATAAAAAAAGCGCGGTTCTCGCACAATACGGCACAGATAAGATGCCTGTGGCGGTAGCAAAGGGAGATAGGTTTATCGGGAGATTGTAGTCTTTGTAGACTTTACCGTACCGTACCACGCCGTAGAATTGAGGCCAAGCTTAGACGGAAGAATTTGCTGGCAAGGCGTACGAAACTAGCCTGAGAAACCGTTGGCTTGTTGTACCATTGTAAACTTGTTTCCAGGTACTGTACAGTACAGCTGCTCGTACTCGTAAATACAGCACGATACTCGTAGCGGTATTGGCAGTGTATTGGCAGTGTATTGGCAGTGCCAGGTTGAGAGACAAAGTGTAAAACATCTTCAGCTTGTCAGTCCATGTTGGGCTACCGGTATTAGTTATGTCTTGTAATCTATCCGACACGTTGGGATTCTCGTCTCGCTTCACTCCCCCACCTGCCGGGAAGAGAGAGGGGGGAGTTCGGAAGCAAGGGATACAAACAAGAGAATGTACTCGTATGTGTACAGTATCGGTAGTCTAAGCTATGGAGGGGAAGAAAAGGAGGAAGAAAGGGGGGCGCAATGCTTGTTTCGAGTGTGGGAAAGAGCCAGAGAACCACAGACAGCCGAGGCGAGAGCGGGGGAGACGTGAACAGGAAGGGCTCCTGAAGAGAAATTCTACGAGCGTTCCAGACTTGCGTCCCTCAAGCTGGCTGGCAGAGCCGCAAACCTTCACGCGAGCATCTTCGACTTTCTTGCTTTTCCCCTACCGCTGTTCCTACTTTCTTACTTACCTACCTTACCTCGCCTTGTACCTGCCTATCTTACATTTTTAACCAGCTGTTCCGCCCTCTCTGTGTCCTCAATTCCTTCTCTCCCTTCCCTGCTTCCGCTATATGCACGTACATGTATGTACTGGCAATGAAGACACTGTTTTCGCTCACTCAACTTCACACCTAGCTGCTCTTCATCTGAGTGTATAATAGAACCGAAACCCACCGCCTATCCCGCTACAAAACTTCCCAAAATGCCGACCCTCGCTCCACTCCCCGTGCGGCAGAACGGCAGGACGATAGATCGTCCCCGCACCCCTAGTCGACCTAGTGCCTCCTCATCCTCGAAAGAGAATGAGTCCTCGTCGAGTAACTCTGCTCCGCTACCCTACGTAAGGCCCCAATTTCTTCCCTAGGAGGTTGTAGGTAATGGATGAAATGGATTGTGGTGGTGGTGGTGGCAGTGGACACAAAAATGGCGGGGGGAATGAGAGTATTCTTTTACTGATACTGACCGGAGCTTTAGACTTTGGGTGATTGTCTTGGAAAGGGCGCTTTCGGATCGGTTTATAGAGCGCTCAATTGGGGGACTGGGGAGACTGTTGCTGTCAAGCAGGTCCGGCTGACGGATCTCCCCAAAAGTGAACTTCGTGTGATTATGGTGGGCTATTTCTCTCTTTAGATAGCTGTGGCTGTGTTATCTAGGAGTCGCTCCGCTAACGCCTTGTCTCACTTTCTCACGCACAGCTCGAAATCGATCTCCTCAAAAACCTCAATGTGAGTTTGCTTGCGGAGTGCTCCCAATCTATATCAAAGCTTTCCCTAACGCCCAGAAGCATCCGAATATCGTCCAATACCACGGATTCGTTAAAACCGCTGATTCCTTGTATATCATATTAGAGTAAGGGCGCTTGCCTCTCTTCCCGGGGTCTGCCCTATGGATCACCTTGGCTAACTAGTGTGTTAGATACTGCGAGAATGGCTCCCTCCATAGCATTTGCAAGAATTTTGGCAAGTTCCCTGAGAACCTGGTCGGACTTTACATGACTCAGGTTCTGCACGGGTTACTTTATCTCCACGACCAGGGTGTTATACATAGGGATATCAAAGGCGCAAATATCTTAACAACTAAGGAGGGATTGGTGAAACTAGCGGATTTCGGGGTTGCTACAAGGACCACTGGCCTCAGCGATTCATCGGTGGTCGGGACGCCTTACTGGATGGCCCCGGAGGTCATTGAGCTGGCGGGGGCTACCACGGCGTCTGACATATGGTGATACCTACCCGAAGACTAAAAGGAGCTATGCGGATGCTTACAGAGTATTAGGAGTGTGGGGTGTACGGTTGTTGAGCTGTTGGACGGGAAACCCCCATATCACAAACTTGCTTCGATGCAAGCACTCTTTAGAATCGTCAATGATGATCATCCCCCGCTTCCTGAAGGTGCCTCTCCGGTTAGTCTCAGGGATCATTGCCACTTGTAGAGTGGTGGTAAGACTGATATCGTTCATTTTTAGGCTGTCCGTGACTTCCTTATGCAGTGCTTCCAAAAGGACCCTAATCTTCGGGTATCCGCTCGGAAGCTGCTTAAACATCCTTGGATTGTTACTGCTAAACGTGCGGATTCGATCGTTCGCACACCAACAACGAAATACGACGAAGCCGTTAAGAGTGTCCAACAGTGGAATGAAGCACTGAAGTCACCCAATGCCGGTACCTCAAGAAAACCGCTCCGAAATCCAATCGTCAGTCCTACACCTCGAAGATATAACAACGATTTCTCAGTTGTGGCGGTAGTTCCCGGAAAGGGAGGCCACAGGACCTTTTCGGCATCACGCAAGACTGAGGCCTTTATGTCGCCCGAAAATAATGGTGAGTAGGGAAATGAATGGTCTTTTACGGATTCAGCCGCTGAATGAAGTCACAGATGATGACGACGACAATTGGGACGATGACTTTGCTTCAGTTATATCACCTAGTGCCCTTCAGCTTCCTCGCAACAGGGCTCCAGAAAATCGACATTTGGGAGTTGTGCAATCATCTGAACGTCTCAAGTCTTTTTCATCCCATGATGGGGTTAATGAGAGCTGGGACGACAATTTTGAGGGCGATCTTACGATCAAGAGCCCTCCATGTGAGTAGCTATTTATCATAAGGCCTACACCAGCGCCCCGAGCTGACATTATTTAGTGATGTCTGATTTAGTGATGTCTGATTTTGATGAAGACGCTATGCAAACTATTCGACCCTATTTCCCCCGGCGCCAGAGCGAACCCGGTCTTGAATTTGATCATGATACACCCAGCCCTCCCATGATTCCTATCAGAGAGAAACAACCCATGCCGCCACCTCACCCCCTTCCTCCAGTGTTATCGCCATCTCCCACAAAGTTGTTGAGGAAGCTTGTGCTTCCGTCCCGACATGTCTCTCACCCGGCTTCGATTTTTAAGGAGAATTCCTTTGAAGATTATTCTGATCTAGCACCACTAAATGAAGCTAGCTTTGCCAAGAAGGTTGATCTTATGAAGGTAACGTTACATTATTATACTCGGCCTCTACACGTATATCACTACTAAAGAGTCTCGATTAGAAGGATGCCTCCTTGAGTCCACGGCTATTCCACCCATCCGATTTGAAAAGTCTACCACGTTCTGCCCAGTCATCGCAGAACGGGAGCCTTCGACGCCAGAATTCCACCAGTGACATCAAGGATGTCCACAAAATGCGCAGAACGCGGTCGTCATTGGAGATCCAAAAGTTTGCAGAACCAGAGGGAGAAGACGATTACTCGGATATCTTTGGGAGTGAAGGCGGCACTGACGAGGCTGGATCAGAGAGCGGTGATGAGCAGAGTTTGATGCTGAATACGAAGTTGTCTAATAACTCTTGGGTAAGTCTGCTGGATCCTGCCTCGACCATCCACTTCTCTGACTTAGTGATAGCTCGGCGATGAGGACATCGACGAGGAAGACCCCTTTGCTCAGCTAGAGGAAGGGTTCGACGAAATGGGTTTGCATCCTTGTCCAATGATTGGACAGATTTTGGTTTAATGGTGATTTAGATCTCGAGGCGAATATTGCCAGGGATAAATATGCTCGTCTCTGCATCCAAGTTGAGAGTTTGGTTAGTTCATTGAAAATCACTCAGTGTGAGGACGACTTAGATGATATTTCGTCACAATTGGTATATATTCCTATTCGTTACCCCTTTGTATTTTACAGTAGGCTGATGGCCCCCAAGATGGACATTCTTTCAGAATCTCCAGAAACGAAGGTCACCATTATCAGCGCTCACGGAATGTTGCCAGTATTAGAGGTTTTAGAAAACTGCACAAAGCGCGAAGTTATTTTGAAACTATTAAAGATAATGAATGCTGTTTGTCTCCATGACCACCCCTCTCTGCATCACCCCTACTTATGGTTGGCAGATCATATTCGACGATGTCGAAATTCAGGAGAATTTATGCTTCGTCGGTGGCATCCCAATTATCACCAAGTTTGCCTCCAAAAAGTATCCGAGCAATGTTCGACTTGAAGCTGCGGCCTTTGTGCGGCAAATGTACCAGACCTCAACCTTGACCTTACAGATGTTTGTGAGCTGTGGAGGTTTGAATGTTCTTGTCGAATTTTTAGAGGAGGATTATGATGCCCAGAAAGACCTGGTCCTCATCGGTGTTAATGGAATATGGAGCGTCTTTGAGATGCAAGGCCCAACGCCCAAGAACGACTTCTGCCGCATTTTTTCGAGAAGCTCAGTCCTTCATCCGCTGTCTCTTGCATTAAATCACGTCCTAGATGAAGATGGCGAATTATCGCATCTATGCGCTGAAAGGATTGTGAAGATATTTTATCTCTTTTCCCAGGCGGAGAACCATGTCAAGGAGATGGTAGCGGACCGAATTGTTTTGAAAAGTGTGTTACTCTATTACCTATTGCCTCATTTTCTCGGGTTGCTCATTCCCCCCCCCGGTAATTAGGAGTTTTGAAGGACTTGAAGCGGATGATCCCCCATCACCAAATCGTCATGCTGAAGTTCATTAAAAATCTGTCGATGTTGTCAGCTACTCTTGACACGTTGCAGAACTCCAATGCAATTGAAGTTCTCACAGATCTCCTTAAGGACAGTTTGAGTGCTCCTCACTTTCGAGTAAGTGGTAAAACGAGGGTTGTTGATATAGGGGCTGACTTTCTATAGGAAATTTCAAACCAAGTTTTAAATACCATGTACAACCTATGCAGACTGAGCAAATCTCGGCAGGAAGAAGCGGCACTTCAGGGAATTATTCCATTGCTACAAAGAGTTGTTAGTACTGAGCGCCCTCTGAAAGAGTTTGCGCTACCAATACTTTGTGATATGGCCCACTCTGGCAAGGTTTGTAGGAAGACTCTTTGGCAGAACAAAGGTCTTGAGTTTTATATCGGGTTACTCTCCGATCAATACTGGCAGGTCACTGCTCTTGATGCAATCTTAGTTTGGTAGGTTTTCCTGGGACTGATTAGAGGGATCCACGCTGACAATGGTTACAGGCTACAAGAAGAAACTGCGAGAGTTGAAGACAAACTTCTAAGCGTACCATTCACCGTGGCCATAATCAACTGCTTTAGAGGATCTAAAAAGAAGTCCTTCGAAAATATTCTGGAGCCTCTTCAGAAACTGTTACGCCTGAGCCCACAACTCGCATATGCTGTGGGTAGACCAGAGTTTTTTGCTCGGATCCTCGAGGAATTGACTCACAATAAGCCTGTTGTCCGGTTGAATCTTTTGAGGATCCTACGAACAATTTGTGATGCTAATGAGCAAAAGGAATCGCTTATCAGGCAATCTGGAATGTTCCAGACAATTCAACGTCTTGCGGATAGAGATGGTGCTGTCCTGGTACGGAATTTGGCTGGAGAGTTGATAAAGCTCTGTCTAGAGAGGGAAAAGAAAAAGAGTCAGCGTCAGAGCAGCAACAACCGGCGCCGCCAGTCCAGCCTATCATTTTCAACATCCTCATCATCCATACCCCCCCCGCCCTCGCCTACCCTTCCCCGTCACAAATCAGATCTTGTGAATATGTGGTCGTACGAGAAGGAAATAAGTGATCAGAACGCGCGAGATGATACACTATCAGAAATGAGCGGAAGCCTTGGCTCCAGTAGGTTAGATGGGAGTGACCGGAGGCAAAGGAGGACGTCGAGCGGCTCCAGAACATCAAACAGGTATATTCCACGCCGGAGCCGCACGAGTACAAACAATGTCGAGCTACGAGGTTGGGAATGACTTACAGTGAACGATGGATTGAACATGGCATGGGCAAACGGGAGGGCGGCTTGTATTTCTATGCCATTATTATGATAGCACTTTTCTCACTTTTTCCTTTTTAGGATACTATACTCGAGTACCGCATTCACTTTGATTCCCACATCGCTGAGCTCTGTAGGCTTTTTTCTTCCTTTTTCTTTTTCTTTTCTTTTTTCTTTTCTCGCATTTTGCCAGGGTGGATATGCATTAGGGTTCATGAAGGTTCTCGGTTGTCTCTTTTTTAATCTTCGCAATTTGGTAGAGAGGCAAGATGGGTCATTTTCTTGTATTGTAGTAGCTGGGTTGGCGGGCTTGGTAGGGTGTTTCTAGAGTTTATGTACCTAAAGGCTTGGTGAAAATTGTTTTCTAAGGGTTGAATTGGATCATTACATGTCTCGTGTTTGGAGAATTGGAGCAATTACATTCTCTCTGGGCAAGGGAGAGTTTATTCTCGGGTAATGATATCTAGGCAGGTTATACATTTCTTGCTATGATAGAATAAATACTAATAATGAGCATTTTGTGTTTATACTGTGTAATAGTGGTCTATCAGTTATGCCATGTTGTAATTCCTGATTGAAGTTGTACTTCTTGCTTGATTGAAGTTCTACTGGAGGGCTACAAGACCCTACCTATGCCACAGGAGAGTACAGTACAGTCTTGTCTGAAAAGTCTACGTACCCCTCTTGGCAATGCCGCAACCGTCGATCACCTCAACACCACCCCCCCCACCATGGTACTACCACATTCTCAAACCCCTAGAGAAGACCAGAAAAGGGAAATCTATGCTCTATATAAACATACTGATATGGGGTATGGTAAAATTTCAAAGCTTATGAACCTTTCCAAGTCAACTGTTTCAACAGTGGTCAAAAATGTGAAATCCAGAGATGGAAACACCCTTGATGCCCTCAGATCTGGCAGCCCAACCAAGATTACTGATACCAAAAGGCAAGTAATTCTTGATATTATCAATGCTGAGCCTCATTTAGTACTAAGAGATATTACCCACAAAGCCAATATTGGTCTTGAAAAAGATACTGTTAGCAAGATATCCAAAGAAGCTGGTTTTAAGCTTAGAATATATAGGAAAAAACCTTTTTAGAGAAAAGGACAGAAGGAGAAGAAAAAGGAGTTGGCTAGGATCAGGAGGAACTGGATAGGAGCTTGAAAATGGGTTGTTTTGTGGATGAGGCCACAATTGAATATGATCCAAATCTAGTGGAAAGGGAGGTCAGACTTAAACTAGGTGAAGAGCTGGAAGAAAAGAACTTAAAGCCTAGCTTTAAGTCAAGATGCACCAATAAAAGTGTATATGCTGCAATGATGTATGGAGGAAGAACTGAGCTGATTCCTGTGAGGAAGAGGAGTGAGGAGGAAAGGACCAGCAAGAGAAACAGGCTTGGTCTCAATGCCTAACAATATGCAACTGAGATCTACCCGCCATACCTCATCCCCTTCATAGAAGGGATAAATAGGACTCCTGAAACCATCAATATGGCTGCTGATAATGCATCAAAGCACAAAGAAGCAGAAAATAAAAAATTGCAGGAGGATTGTGGATATCAGAGATTAGCTTGGCCTTCCAACTCACCAGATCTCAACCCCATTGAGAATGCCTCAGTAATTCTCAAAAAAGCCATCAGAAAGCGATTCTCCAAGGTTGAGAGAAGGCCCCATAGTGCTGCAGAGTTATTTCAGACAGCAAAGGAAGAGTGGGAGCTTATTCCCCAAGGGAGATTTAATGGATGAATTCAGATAATACCTGAGAGAATTCAGGCGGTATTGGATGCAAATAGAAGCCATACAAAATAGTAGAATTAGGAAACTGTTATTTTCTATTTCTACTTTTATCTATTTTATAATTGTACTTATATGATTTTTTTTGGTGTAGTTAATATCATTATTTGTAGTGGTAGTGCCGTTGTAGTGAGAGGTACATAGACTTTTCAGATACAATGGTACAGTACTAGGTCAAATCGTTTCATCTGATTAGTGGTAACCAAACAATACCTCAAAAAACTCCACTCTACTGATCAACCACTCCTCAACAACAATGCCCTCTGAAAAGACCGGCCATCTCTCAGATGTTGAGAAAGGTCAAATTGTTGCTCTAAGAAAAACTTAAATCTCTTTTACTGAAATTAGAAAGCTCTTAAACTATTAAAAGAATATAATTCTTAGTTTTCATAAGTGTTATTAAAAGAGGGGTGATGAGAAAAGTCTTCCAACACCAGGAAGAAACAAAATTATTAATAACAGAATTTACCACTGCCTATTCAAAAAGTCCAAGAAGGCATGCCGCTAAATCCTGTCAGAATTGTGCAATAATGTTGTACTATATGCCTCTCTGAGTACTGTTAAGAGAGCTTTAGCATCAGTCAATATAAAGAAGTGGAGAACAAGGAAGAGAGCTTTTCTGAAAGATAAGCATGCTGTCAAGATATTATCTTAGAATATAGAGTAAAGGAATTGGACAAAGGAGGACTTAACGGGTATCATCTTTAGTAATAAATACATACATTAGCAAAAAAAGCCTTCTCACCGGATAAAGAACATCTGCATCTGGATGCCATCATTCAATTATCTTCATTCTGAGTGTCCTGACCATCCAGACATTAACTCATTTCATCTGATCCATCCAACACATGGCCACCCCGCCTCCCTTTGCTCCTACCATCTCACTCGCGTATTGTGTGATCTATTCATTCCAATACAGGCCACTATTTTACTTCACACCCATATTTCGTCAGGCGGACTTCACTCTATTGTTGCTGAATCATGTCTCTTGAATCTGACCTTACAGGCCCAACTTGTCCATGCGGCCCATATTCATCCAGTAACAATCCATAATGGATTCTTCCCGCACAGTATACTGATATAATCCTAGCATCTATCCATCATCTCCAACCTATATGACGATACCAAGTACTCTCCTTACACTATGTGGTTGTTTCTGTTGCCCTCCCCAGTCCTCTTTGCTATAGTCGTTGTTCTGGGATGGTAGCAGAAAGACCCATATTCTGTAGGGATAGTAGTAGGCGCTGGCATATAGGTGCTAAATGGTTTATGTATTTTTAGTTCAAAGTAGCTCACAGAACAAATACTGTTCGGTCCCAATCCACAGTCTTGATATTAGTACTACTCGTATTATTTTGGGCTTCACACATCCTGTCTGCTACTAGTTTTAGATTTTTAGTTTACTTAGCTATTAGTAGTATAATTACGATCTGTATATAATCTTTATTAGTATATTAGTATTTACAAGAATTCAATACATATTATTAAATGTTTGTAAATCAATTCCAAGATTCAAAATCTATTGCCTCTCACTGGCGGGAACCAGATGCACCTGCCTGATCACTGCTCCACTATAGAGGATCTGCATATCCCAGCTACTGGACCACTTACAAACTCAGAGGTATCCAGCAGTATTGTGAAATCTCCTACCATGTACTGGATCGAGCACTTGAACTAATGCTATGCAACTTACATACCTGCCTCACTCTGGATATTTCTTATCTTGAAAAGCTCTAACAACCATACTGCACTCCTCCCTTGCAAATTCCTGCATGAGTCTGCTCTGCCAAACTGGATCCATACCTGATTGTTTCTCGGCCCTGCATTTTAAAAAGCCTTAGTTACAGTACAGCAAGCCCAGTGGTCTGGAAGATATCTGTTGATTGAATATCAGGGACTAGAATGTCAAGCTAGATAAATTGCTCTACTAGAAGCAATCTCAGTTCTAAGAAATTGGTAGGTAGCCGCTGCCTACCTGCTATGGTCTGCTTGATGTAATAGACCATCTCCTCTACTATTGCAGAATAACTAATCTCCAGGGTAATACAAAGGTTGATTAGCGCGCCAGTATTCCTGCTGCCTCTGAGAACTCGCTATAGCATGCTGCAGCTTGAAGATATTTGCATCTCTTCTGTTACATTCCCTATTCCTATGTCATCACCAGATCCCGAAAGTTTCTCGATTGTAAGTAATCCCATTCTCAGGGTATGCTGGCAGCCATATTGTGATAAGATGTGTTGAGCAGCTTCAGTTTTATTTAATCTCCTGTAGCCTTCTTTGATCTATTCTTCATGTATCAGTTCACTGATATCAGTAGAATACATCGTCATTGATCCAAAATGTCGGATGTGGGCCACAAAGTAACTCTAATAGTATATCTTGATAAAGTTAGAATAGTTCTCATGGGAGATCAAATCTACTCAGTGATCTATTCTTCGACACCTTTGTTCATCAGCCAGTCAATGGTGTTTGATGGTAGAGATGCTGGGAAGTGCTTTAACTTATTGATCTGCTATCTGTTCCTATAGTTCATGATCCTCTTGACTTGCCTCGATGTGAGTAGTATTCGACGTATGAAATTCAAGAAAGATGTCATTAGTCTGGTAAAATGTTAGCAGATAATTTTCTCTATGAGATATGATGTCAGGCATATGACTCCAATACTTGACCATCAGACTGATATCAATCAGTGCACAAATATATTGCAAGCCTGAGATACATTTAAAAGGGGGGTGCTGAGAGTTGTTTGGGGTATATAATTCAGATACTAGTGCAGCCACAATGCATCTGCCGAGGTTACGTATTTCCTTTTATTGCCATTATGTGATGTCCTAATAGGTCATTTTTGGTACGCTGAATCCAGAATAATAGGCAAGTTCTTTCCAGACATTGTCAAATGCCTGCTGCTATTTGTGCTTTTTCAGAAATCCTTCTACCCATTCTATAATATATTTAAATAGGCCATAGTAGATGTTATGTAACAGGTCTTGCTTATGGAGGTTCACAGGATCTACATGGTAGAGTCTGCATCAGCGAAAAATAATCCTCGCGTCCTGTGCGTCCTGTGTGTCTGATGCACGGGATGCACAGGACGATTTGCATTAATCAGGGTGTGGCGCCCCGCGGATGTTACGTCCTGATTTCCCCGGTTGACACCACTTCCGTCCTGATGCTATCCTCCCATAGACCTCTGTATTCTCTGCATTCTGAGCTCAGCTGCCACAATCCCCTTCCGTCCTGTTCACCGATCCTGCCTTTCTGTCTTCCTCATGAGCTCCACCACCAAGGCCCTTTCCCCTCCAGACTACAAGCTGTCTGCTGTGTATCGAATCTGGATTATCTCATTCTCTGGCTTTAGATCTGGACGAACACCATAGTACCTAACTCCTATCCTGACAGACGCCATGGTGCCTAACCCCTATCCTGATGACTTTGGTCTCGCATCGTCGCGGCTGTAATGATTCCTCTCTCGATAGTTAGTTCTTGGCGATGGGGAACGATACTTCTCTTTCTGTCTTCTTCTTTCTGTGTCTTACGATAGCTCTAGGCCTCTGCCTACGTTACTGATAGTACAAGACCTTTGTCTTCTATCGGGAACACCTATGGTAAGCTTTCTCTAACTCGTCTTCGTGAAGGAATTTTCTTGGCGTAACAATAACAGTGCAATAAAGATAAAGATTGTAAAGATGTTTTATATTCGTTAAAGTAATAAGTAGGAAAAGTACTTA